ACAAGGTTGGAACCCACTTTGTGACCCTTTGGCTTCCCTCTCACCTTCATGAAATTCCTCACCAATTTCTGTTAATGGCACCTTCTTAGTTTCCATCACTTGAAACCCATATGGCCATACCTTTTCACTGACTCCTGCGTCCATCATTCTTGCTTCTAGAATCTCTTTAATTTAGTTCCTTTCTCTGCTGCAAAGAGATCCTTGTAAAATACACACTAGAGAGTCCACTCACCAGATCAAAATCCCTAATTACGGGTGTGACCTGGCAGCTGGGGGTGTGGGTATAAAATCGACCCAGGTTATTCTAAAGTGCAGCAAAGTGGGAGGACCCCAGGTCTCCAGTGTTCTAAGTTCTTTACCATCTGCCTGCCTGCTACTCAGCCTCATATTCCACACCTCCAACTCTGGCAGTAGCCAGAATATTCCATATTTTCAAGGTTTCTGTTTCTGTCTATACCATTCCCTACTTATAGATATAAATATAAATATAGATTACATAGATATAGATAGATATAATATGCATCATTTATAATAACAAAAATCTACACAAAGCCTAAATGTCCAAAAAGAGGACACACTAGCCTATTACAATATTTCCAACTTGTTGACCATTCTATCCATGTTTTGCAACTCACCTCAGATGCAAACACTTCGGGGTGGAAGCTCTGAAACATTTGTGGCAGAATCAGATGCTTTTCCTCCCAACATTGCTCGAATATATTTATGCATTTCTTATAGAACTTGCCATGTTCTGCCAAAATGTGTTTGGCTCCTCCCCACATAGGACCATAAGCTTTTTGGAAAAAGAACTACATCTTAGTAAGTCATGTGCCAACATATATATCAGAATGCCTTTTACAAAACAGAAGATTTGTCATTGCTTGTGGAATAAATGAACAAATTAAAACCTCCACCTCCCGGGTTCAAGGGATTCTCCTTCCTCGGCCTCCTAGGTAGCGGGGATTACAGGCATGCACCACCACACCCAGCTAATTTTGTATTTTTAGTAGAGATGAAGGTTTCTCCATGTTGGTCAGGCTGGTCTCGAACTCCCAATTTCAGATGATCCACCCGCCTCAGCCTCCCAAAGTCCTGAGATTACAGGCATGAGCCACCGCGCCTGGCCAGTCCCCACACTTTCAAACACAGAAGCTGAGGGTCTGAGAGATGCAGTGACTCACGAGGTGTCAGCACCATCCCCTGAGCCTCACCCAGCCCCTTCCTTCTGTTCTAGGAGTGAGGCATTCACACCTTTTATTGCACAGGAGACACTGATGGAAGAGAGCCCTGCATCCATCCTCAGAGGGGACGAGGGATGGTCCTAGAGCCCATGAGGTGAGAGGTGAGGGCAGTCCTGCCAAGGTCATGGAGCAAAGGTCACTCACTGCTCATTGTTATGCTTTTCCCTGTCACATACCTTCTGTCAAACACTAGTTCTCTAAGACTATAAAATCTCTGGAAGAGGCCGGGCTGTCATACCAACACTTTGGGAGACCAAGGCAAGAAGATCACTTGAGCCCAGGAGTTTGAGATCAGTCTGGGCAACAGAGTGCAACCTTGTCTCTACAAATAATGAAAAATTATTCTGGGGTGGTGGTGCACGCCTGTAATTTCCAGTTACTCAGGAGTCTGAGGCAGGAGAATTGCTTGAGCCCAGGAAGTTGAGGCTGCAGTGAGCTGTGATCATGCCACAGCACTCAGCTTGGGCAACAGAGCGAGACCCTGTCTCAAAACACAAACAAACAAACAAACTCTGGAAGACAACCTAGGTAATACCATTCAGGACATAGGCACAGTCAAATAGTTCATGATGAAGACCCCAAAAGCAATTGCAACCAAAGCGAAAATTGACACACGGGATCTAATTAAACTAAAAAGCTTCTGCACAGCAAAATAAACTATCAACAAAGTAAACAGACAGCCTATAAAATGGGAGAACATTTTTGCAAACTATGCATCCAACAAAGGTCTAATATTCAACATCTATAAGGAACTTAACAAATTTACAAGCAAAAACATACAATCTCATTTTAAAAAAACAGTAGGCAAAGGACATGAACAGACACTTTTCAAAAGAAGGCATACATGTGGCAAACAATCACAAGAAGAAAAATTCAATATTACTGATAATTAGGGAAATACAAATCAAACCACAGTGAGATAACATCTTACACCAGTCAGAATGGCTATTATTATAAAAAGTCAAAAAATAACAGATGCAGGCAAGGTTACGGAAAAAAAGAAACTTATACACTGTTGGTGGGAGTATAAATTAGTTCAACCATTGTGGAGGACAGTGTGGCGATTCCACAAAGACCTAAAGAGAGAAATACCATTTGACCCAGCAATCCCATTACTAGATATATACCCAAAGAATTAGAAATCATTCTATTTTGAAGACACATGCGCAGATATGTTCATTGCGGCACTATTCACAATAGCAAAGACATGGAATCAACCTAAATCCCATCAATGATAGACTGGATAAAGAAAATGTAATATATATACCATGGAATACTATGCAGCCATTAAAAAGAATGAGATAGGAACATGAATGGAGCTGGAGGCTGTTATCTTTAGCAAACTAACACAGAAACAGAAAAACATATACCACATGTTCTCACTTTTAAGTGGGAGCTAAATGATGAGAACACATAAACACATAGAGGGGAACAACACACACTGAGGCCTTTTGGAGGTTAGGGGGTGGGAGCACGGAAAAGATCAGGAAAAATAACTAATGGGTACTAGGCTTAATACCAGGGTGATGAAATAAACTGTACAACAAACTCTCATGACACACGTTTACCCATGTAACAACCCCGCACTTGCACTTATGAACTTAAAATAAATGTTTGAAAAAGAGGAGCACTTGGGTTCAGGAAAGAAAAATATGTACCAGATAAAATACTTTAAAGGGGAAAACTTGCTCTGTTTTCAGAGGAATGCTCATTTCCAAGAGAAGGCACAACACAGAATTGTTCCTAAAACATAGCCCTGTGAAACACGGCAAACAACTGCCAAATGCAATGGAGTCTGAGTTCCCCAGATCTCCCTCAAAAGAGGTTTTTTGAGCAAAAATAAATATTGAAGCAAATGTGGTAATGTTTGCATTGAAGGACTTCTCCAAGAACACTATTTTTGCACCTTGATTTCTTTGTTCTAGCCATGACATTTCTGACGTGGGTATTCATGTATGTTCTCAATGTAAGGGCTAAACATTTCAAAGAACTGCTAAATCAATTCCAGAAAACCCATGCAGTTGCCTTGAAAATGAGATCAAGTTTTTGATGCTATTTCAAGCTGTTCATGGGAAATTCATTGTTCATCACAGTTCGACATGCCACGTTTCCGTTTATATTTTAAGCTAAAGTGGCTTTTTTCCTCAAAACTTCGTAAGCAAATCACCAAATTTTAAAACGTGTTTTGTGTCAAATATGCTGACAACCACGATATAATTTGATGTAGTAATTAAAGGGTACGAAATAAAAATAACATCTCAAGATTATTTGTAGAAAATGTAAGTATATAACAGGTTCCTTTGATAGGTGGCCAATAACTAGACTTCAAAATTTTCGTTTCATAAAAGCCTTTCTTTAAATTTAGTAATCAATGATTTATACTTAGTTTACTGACTAAATTAACAAAACGCTCTAAAAATGGAATACTCGCAGCTGACAAGGCTATGGTGGAAGTGGCACTTCATACATTGCAGAGTGGATGGCAGGGTAAATTGGCACCAACCACCCTGAAAGCAATTGGGCAATAACTCTGAGGGATGCCACAATTTAAGCATCTTCTGGGGCTCTATTCTAAGACAAGCAAAATGTGGAAAATGTATATGCACAAAGGTGTTTACTCACAACATTATGGTTAATGTAGAAGAATCTGTAGTAAAAGCAACTTAAGAACCTAATATAAAATTACTTAGAATGATGATTATAAGACTATATACCTCAGGAAAACACTTATTTATTCAAGAACAGCTTTGACTTTATGTATAGCCAAGACAAAATAAAAATCCTTGTTTCACTTTGCAAGGAAGCGATCTCCCTCCCTGTCATTCTGCCAATTCAGCGTGTCTCTAAAGGGTACTCCACTTCCGAGCGCCCTCTGCAGGGCGCCGCCTCATGTTACAGTAGAAACTGGCTCTGCTTGGAGGAAGTTCAGCAGGTATCAGAGATGGGAATGTGGCAGGGTCTGCAGCGGTGGAAGCCGGAGATGTGCCCTGAGCACCTGGGACCTCCTGATTTAAGGACAGGGAGGAGGCAGATCTGAGGCAGGTCCAGGTCTATGACAAAAGAGAGGGTATGCGGAGCACACTGGCCTGACCTCAGGGGCTGCATCTAAGCTCTCAGTTACATTCGGAGTGTTGGGGTGGGCCCCAGGCCAGGGAAGGATGCTCCCTAGAGCCAGTGCTGGGCTGCCAAGCACATAGGAGGACACGCAGCGCTTAGCAAGGACCTTCCCCACCACCAGGAACCAGGTCTGTGGGCAGCAGGCCCTTGAAGGCCTCCAGTTCCATCCATGTTCCTGTAAAGGACATTATCTCATTCCTTTTTTACGGCTGCATAGTATTCCATGGTGTATATGTACCACATTTTCTTTATCCAGTCTATCATTGATGGGCATTTAGGTTGATTCCATGTCTTTGCTATTGTGAATAATGCTGCAATGAACATGTCCTTGAGGAGAGGAGGAAGCACAAACGAGTTCTGGCTCTCCTGGCTCACACAGATGCAGGCTAGGTGAGGCAGAGCCCATGGAAGCAGGTAGTGAGCTGGCGCAGGGTGGAGTTGGGGCATACCACAGGGGGGCTGCCGGGGCTGCGTGCCATGGGCTCATGTGTTATTGATCACAGTGAATATGACTGTGGTGGTGACATTCACAGCAGGGCGCCAGCCTCCCTGGACCTGTCCCTTATATGAAGCCTGGGCTGGGAACCCTCAGGCCAGATCTTTGCCTGTGGTGCCAGTGGCCAGCAGCAGGGCCAAGCCCACCTGTATTCTGAAGAAGCTTGAAGCTGCAAGCTGTGACAACCTTCGTAACATTCACAACTTGATTCCCATCACAGCGTCGGTAAGGTTCTATCCTAGGATACTTCCTGAGAAAAGAAAAAGAAAAGATTTACATGCATAATAGTGAATGATTGAAAAAGCATAAATGTTCCACACAAGAGGAGAGGTTCAACCCATTGTAGTACATGTAACAATGTGCCGCTGTTACATGGCAGGGAAAATATATTCTAGCAAATATTTTATAATAATATGAAAAATGAATAATACCACGTATTTGTAGAAAATTAGAATATAGAGTATATATGTGATAAAACGTATATAAATGTGTTTTACACAATTTTAACTATGTGGTTTGTAGATATATGTAGAATAAAACTATGCAGATATATAAATAACTATTCCAAAACATTCATAGCAGAGATACTAGAAGAAGGTTCACCAAAAAGGTCCTTATTTATGAGTTATTTATGAGTTATTTATGAGTTACTACTAATTTTTAAGCTACATATTTTTTAAAAAGAGGAAGAAAGTGATAAATAACTGGCTTGCAATTCCTCTTTTCCCTGGTAGAAATTAAGCAAGCAATATTAAACACAAATTTTAGAAACCCCACCTGGCTCATCCCATCTCCTGTGGCTCCATGGGCTGGCCAGACCCACCTCAGCGGCCACTGGCTGCTCTTTTGCTCATGGTCTCTGTGCCCAGGCTCAGCTCTGTGCCTCATGCCTGACACTCCTTGAGCTTGGACCCTGCAGTCCTCAGACTCTAGACAAGTCACTGTGCTACCTCCAATAACTCAGAGCCTCCTCAGGACCTAACAAGTGTGTCTCTTATGAATAAAATTACCTACTTCTGGCTGGGCACAGTGGCTCATGCCTGTAATCCCAGGACTTTGGGAAGCTGAGGCAGGTGGATCACCTGAGGTCAGGTGTTTGAGATCAGCTTGGCCAACATGGTGAAATCCCATCTCCACTAAAAATACAAAAATTAGTCGGGTGTGGTGGTGCATGCCTGTAGACCCAGCTAATTGGGAGGCTGAGGAAGGACAATCGCTTGAACCCAGGAGGCAGAGGTTGCAGTGAGCCCAGATTGCTCCATAGCACTCCAGTCTGGGCAACAGAGGGAGATCCATCTCAAAAAAAAAAAAAAAAATTACCTAATTCTGCTACATATAAATTTTGGGTTTTGGGGTGTGTTTTTTTGTTTTGTTTTGGTTTTTGGTTTTTTGGGGTTTTTTGTGGTTGTTTTTTTTTTTTTTTTTTGAGATGGAATGTCACTCTGTCGCCCAGGCTTGAGTGCAGTGGCACGATCTTGGCTCACTGCAAGCTCTGCCTCCCTGGTTCACGCCATTCTCCTGCCGCAGCCTCCCAAGTAGCTGGGACTACAGGCGCCTGCCACCACGCCCAGCTAATTTTTTGTATTTTTAGTAGAGACAGGATTTCACTGTGTTAGCCAGGATGGTCTGGATCTTCTGACCTCGTGATCCGCCCGCCTCGGCCTCCCAAAGTGCTGGGATTACAGGCATGAGCCACCGCGCCCTGCCAAATATAGGTATTTAATTCAAATTTTGGTGAGATACATTCTCGCCAACTATTTAATAGGTGTTAACCCTATTAAATATTCTGAAGCAATTATAAAAATAATATTGTGCACCTACCATTTTAAAATTCAGCACACATTTTACATCCATTAAAATACACAGGTATTGATAACAGCAATAGCTACTGACGTGAACTGAGGGCCTCACCTGTGCCCTTACTGAGGGCTAGGGCAGGGATTCCCTCATCTTCATGCTCCCCATGGACTGCGCGCTGCCCACGACTAAGGCTCAGGGCTGCGGGCTTGCGTGCATTCACTCACATACACTCCAGACAACCCCAGCAACCTCCGACGCCAGCATCTCTGAGACGCCCAAGTGCTGGTCTTTACCTGGGTCATACCTGCCTCTGATGAGGCAGGACCAGAGCTAAACACAAGCAGGTTGCCCCCCCGAGCTTCACCAATGGGCCACACCACTCCACAGAGCCCTCAAAGGAAGGAGTTTCTGCTCTGCTGCCTGCAGGGGTGTTTGGTGGGTGGAGCGAGTATCCATCTTTCTGATCTTGGTCACGCCCCTAGAGGAAGGGCAGCAGCAAGTCAGATTGATGAGTCCATGACACCCACGGGCCACGACTGTTGCCTCTGTGGAGAGCCTCAGTCAGAGGCCGCTCCTTAACCGGCGTGCCCGGGGGATCAGGGTGTGCTGTTTCCCTCTTGTCTCCCCACGCAGAAGGGGAGAAGGCAGCAGAAGGAAGCCCAGCCTCTCCTACATCGGCCCACAGCCGAGACCCCGAAGGGGTCTTCCAGGGGAAGGGTCTGTAGGACTTTTCTCTGCCTCTTGCTCACACCTCTGGTTGGAGGAGGGAGGGAGCCTAGATCCCTGGGAGCCCACCGGCAGCAGTCAGGAGCTCTGGCTCCCTCCCCCAGCACTCTGCCCTGTGAACACTGCCAGCTCCACTGCCAGGATGAAGCAATGGAGACCCAGAGTGAAAAATCATGCTGAGCGCGTGGCATATCAAACCTAGGTCCTCATGACTCCAGTGCTTTTGATGCACATTTACCCTCTGGAATAACAGAATTTTAAAACCTAACACAATTTGCTATAAATAGATTAATTCCTCCCCTTTCCCCTGAAAGATAAGACTATTGATAAGTAATTTTTAAAACGAACAAAAATTTTGCATCTTTAAAATGTGTTCTAAAAATTGAATTAAAACCAAAACAAATCTTTAAGAAAAATCAGTATTTTCTTTTCTGGAATCTACTGGCTACTCCCACATATCACCTCCAATTGCACACACAGACTCAGATTCTTTTGTTTTTGTTTTTTATTTTGATCTGGGTTCTCACTCTATGGCCCAGGCTGGAGTGCAGTGGCATGATCATGGCTCACTGCAGTCTCTGTTTCCTGGGCTCAGGTGATTCTCCCACCTCAGCCTCCTGAGTAGCTGGGACTACAGGTACACACCACCATGGCCTGCTGATTTTTTCTTTTTTTTTTTTTTTAAGACACACTGTCTCACTATGTTGTCCAGACTGATCTCGAACTCCTGGTCTCAAGTGATCCACCCACCTTGGCCTCCCAAAGTGCTAGGATTACAGGCATGAGCCACTGCTCATGGCCTCAGATTCATTTATGTGAAGTTCAGCTCAGAGACCTAAGATGCAGCATATAGTCTTGGAGCCTCACGGAACACATCCTCTTTCAATATCAAATTAAGGCTGTGGAGTTCACGTTCACCTGAACAGTTTATTTCACAGTGTTAAATTTCTATCTGTGTTACAAAACCTTGCAATTATTAAATCACCTAATCTAATGTTGTTAAAGTAAAATAAATCGACATCATTTTTAGCCTGTGCCAACCTTTCAGTTGTTTTAAAATCCTGCACTTAAACTTTCATTTCTACTTTTCTCTAAAAGAAAACAATTGAAATGTCTATTTTATGAAGAATTCAGTTCAATGTTTCAAATAAAAATATAAAATTTCCCCATTTAATTACTTTAGAAACTGCATTGTGATAAAATAGCTAATGATTCGGGCAGAGATTTTAAAATTATAAGTAATGTTTATGCATGAATAGTGATGTGTGACTTTAAAAATTATAAATCTAACAAGAAACATTTAACTTTGAATATGCTTCTATTTTATTTCTTATTCATAATCTTTTATCAAACACATGCATTGAACACCTCCTACTTTGAGAACAAATAAAAATTAACAAGGCTTATTTCTAGACTCCAGAACATTCACTAGCTAGTTCATCCTTTCCTAGAGAATGTAGGAGCCTCATTCTACCAGGAAGAGAAGAATAGGGACGCTTGCATTGAAATAGACATTTGCTGAGTCTTATAAACTGAATGAGGAAGCATTCCCGGCAATTGTGTACAAAGATGTGCGAGCATTGCTAGTCTGAGAACATAATGAATGTGTCATTTCTGCATAGTGGGTGGGTGCAGAGTGGCTGAAGTTGGAGCAGAGGCGGAAAGGTGGTGTCTCTCTAAGGCCATGAATCTCCCATGGAGGATGTGGCCAGACCATCAACTCCCTCCCTCCAGCTCTCCTGCAAGAACCCTGGATGTTTTAGCACCCTGTGGCTGACCAGCGGTGCTCACACAGCTGGTATTGTGACTGCTGCTGAGTTTGTCTGCTCTTTGGCTCCCTAATCCATTTCCTGCTCAATCCACCTGATAACACAACATGTCTTTGCTGAGGCTACTCTTTCAGGTTTATTGAATTCTAGGGAGTCTAAGAAGGATTCTAATTCCAGAAACGCCCTGTGAACTCGTGATTCTCTAGTAGACTTCAGCTTGTTACAACTCTGTGGCGTAGATCTCCCATCATGCTTCATGGTTCACTAACCATGAACCAGACACAGGCTCTTATGGGCAGCCCCATGGCTCCACCACTCCGGTGGTAGATGTTAGCAAGTTGCACTGTGTTGTGTGAACATTGCGTGACTGAGTCATCCAAGGAATGGCTAGAGGAATATGAAAGTTCCCAGGGAAATTTCAGACTGTGTGAAATCCCTTGTTGCTTTTAGGCCCCTAAATATGGACCTATCTTTTTAGCCTATTAATTTTATTTAAATATTTTGAAGAAAGACATCTTTTTCTTCTTTACTGAAATATAACATGTAACAGAAAACAATAGCCTTTCTAGACTATCAGCAGCACCCCAAAAGGCCTCTTCACAGCCCCTCCCTGTCATTAGCTCCATGTTCCCAAAGAGAACCACCCTCCTGACTTCCAGCACCACACATTGCCTTACTGCTTTTTGAGCTTTCTACAAAATGAATCAATATGTTTTCTTTGATGTCTGGCTTCTCTTCTCAGCATCATATGAGGTTCAACCATGTGCTTCAACCTTACAAGTAGACCAGAAGTTACTTATTAATCCTCCATATGAAGATGGCTTGTTTCCAATTTTTGACTGTAAACATTCCATCCATGTCTTTTGTTGAACATATGCACACATCTCTGCGCTTATATACCTTGCAGTGGAACTGCTGGCCCGTAGGATATAGAAATATCCCGTTTAAGTAGATG